TTTTTTTTTTTTTTTTTTTTTTTTTTTTTTTTTGCATTTTTGTGTTCTTTATATAGTCTTAACACACTCCATCACAATATATTTGTACTATTGTGTGTTCTAAAAAGAGAAGACTAGTTCATCAGTGGCTCTTTTAGGCTAAAATACTTCACTGTGGAAGATTGGTCTCCGTCCTCAACTTCTCCACAGTATGAGTTGCACAGTTTAAACAGATACGCAGAAACAACATGTATGTAGGTCAGTTCAGTTATATCCACCAACTAATATACAACATACATATGTACCAAAGAATATCTAGTTTTAACAAGGAAAATGTTTCATTTAATTATGTTTTCCACTGATGGATTGCTTGGTCTCCTTTTTTTAGCCATCCAATCTATGGTAAACCCATCTTCTCTTTTTTAAACAATTCTGTGGTGATATTTCTGTAGTATCGAACAATAACACAACCCTTCAATGCCCAAAGACTGCGGCCCTCAGCAAACAGCCATGTGAACACAAGAGGCACAAACCCTTTTACAGAAGAAAAACAAAGCAAAAAAATATATTGGTTTTGTGGTTGAAATATGGATAAAATGTTAGGTTATCATTTCCTCTAGTTAATTAGTAAGAATATGAATAATGATGAAATCAGAGTGCTTTTGGTGTGCTTTCAAGTGCAAGTCAGGATTCGAAGGAGTACACTTAGGAAAGGTGCAAGTTCAGTGAAGTCAGCCACGTTCTGTGGAGAGATCTTTTGACAGAGCAGTGTAGCTATAACCCCGTTATTAAGTAACCGCAGATAAGACGATTCCTAGGAAGCATGCAAAACCCCACCTTCCCTTCGGCTTCACAAACCAATCGCGCCGGCTGCGCGCTGTCCCGACGTCCTGCTCTGGCAGCGCGGTGTCCCCGCGTCCTCCTCTCCCGCAGCGCCCCCTAGTGTCGCGCCGGGCTCCTGCGGCGAGCAGAGCGGCAGCGGTGGCTTCTGTAGCAGGGGGTGTGCGGCGGTTGCTCCTTGGCTGTTTGCGACCACTTTTCTGATGCGGTTGACGACACATGGCAAACTCAGCTATATGGCAACAAAATCTAGGTTTAATGGTGTATCTGTTCCTCAAAGGTATAAAGTGGGAGTAGATGTACGAACCAATTAGGCTGATGTAGATGTTTATTTTTTTAATGCGATAATAAAGGCAGCCAACACAGTACAGGTTAGGTCATTTTCTTTATATAAAAAATAACCCACTTCTTTCAATTTTTGCCTGCTTAAATAGTTGGAGAAATCCATGTATTAATGATATAATTTCTTCTTGCCCTTCCCACCATCTCACCTTTTTTCCTCCTTTATTATTTTTATTATTATTTTAAGGAAATAGTTTGAAAATAGTGTTCTCCAATTATCAGTTTACAGATGTGATCATTTTCTCCTTAATGTAGCTTTAAATGCGGTAACTTGCCATTTATTAATTCAATACTTTAAAAAAAAAAAGATGTGGAAAGCCCTATTTGTAGGCCTAGGAAATTGGCTTTTCAGTTTGCTATTCAGTTGTAGATCAGCCTTTGAGGTATACTATACAAGAGCAGTCCAAGGTGTCTGACTGAGGCTCGGCTTGCTCTATGACCCATTGTGACGGAGCACTTTCTAATTGCACTGAGAAAAATTACCTGTTCTTTCACAGATGGGGAAAAGGTTGCAGCCTGCCTCAATTAAGCATCTTTGACATTTAATCTGAATTTTTCACTTAGATTTGTCACCATGTAGCTTTGTTTGAAATTGGCCATTTTTACCCTATTTGTCGTTTCTATTTATAAAGATTTATCGCAGTATATCTGGGTTATAACAGTATGTAAAGACTGATGATATGGAGTGGCCATTTTTGCATGTGTCTGTCCCCGGAAGGGTGGACTGTGATTTTATTGGATGTCTGCAGCTATTACCTTGAAGGATAAATTTTCATTTTTCATCTATTCTTCCCCATCTAGACTGTATCAGGATTAACTGTAATTCCAGTAAGTGCCTATTCAAACTTTTTAAAATGTTATTCCACCATTATAAAATATGCAAACTAGATGAAAATGATTGTGGACAGTTTGCAAGTGCTTGATAATTTATTAATGAAATGTGATGATTAATTATCAATGTGTAAAAAGTCATCATATACTCTAGTGAGCATTTTGTGTCCTTCCTATATAACTTCTAATTGGAATGTTAAGAAAGGAAGGATTCTACCGGCTGTAAATGTGCGCAGTAAATTCTACGTATATGGCACAATACCTGTAGCACTGTATTCTCCTATCCAGCTATTTTATTGACAGTATCTTATCAAATTTCTAACATTTCTGATGAGCTGTCGTATCTTCTCCCTCTGGTCCTTTCCCTAGTTCTCCTGACATTTTGCTTCCAACCCATGGTGATAATGTGAGAACATAATTGTACACAGTACAAGAATTTTTATTTCAAAATCATCCTAGACAATTAACTGTATTAGCTGCCTGCTTGTGAAACAATTGGTTTTGCTAAGCTTTTTGAGAACACAGTATATTACAGTAAGGACATGATTAAGTCTGAGAATAACTGCACTTCTATGATGATTTTTTACACTCTAATCATGTAAGAAACTTTGAATTGAACATTTTTTTTCTGTGATGTGCATGTTTATGAAACAGAGGGAAACAATTGCCAGATGAATGGACTAAATTTTAACTTCTCTGATATTATTTGGATTAAGAGGCTATATTCTGAAAGGAGAAAAAGGACTGTGATTTTATTTTGAGTCTATGGAATTCCTGAATGGTGTCAACAAAAGTATTGATAGTAAGTATGGTAGATTTGAGTTTTGGGTTGTTTTTTCTTTCCCCTTCCAACAGGTTTTGTAGGGCAAGGATTGGCTTTATGCAAATAAAAACAAAACTAAACAATAAACTTAGCGGTTAGCATTTGTAGTGTAAATAGTTTCCCAAAAGTCATCAAAATAACCTCCCCTAATAGCTTTATAGTCCTCAAATTAAAATAGGGGTTGCACTAAATTGGATTGAAAAGAAAAATTCTTTTGGGGCAGGTTTTTCATCTCAACCATGCTTAAATCCAGACAGACTTTTCAGTACAGTAAATGTTTGCATGACCAAGGCACGAGGACAGTTTTGTCGTATGAAGGTTAAAAAAGTTGCAGTTCCTTTAAACTGTTCAGTTATAAAGATGAATATGTCCATTAATGTCCACTAAGATTATGACAACATTTTGTTGGTTTCAGTTGTAGGATTGTTATTTTTCTCTGGATCGAGTCCCAGTTAGAGGAAAAATTCAAAGTATAAAGCAAACAGCTTTTTAAACAGAGACTTAATGAGTAGACCTGCTGCTGCTAAATAATTTTTTTTCCATAGCAAAAGCAATAATTCTCATTTCTCAAATTCCTTAATAGAATCGGAGAATTCTTTTGAAAAGGGATAATGGGGGGAAAATATGCTTGTACAGTCACAGCACAATAAATCAATAGATCAGTAGATGATTGGCTTTTATTTCTAAATCTCTTTTGAACAAAATGAGTTTTCATGAAAATAAATTAAAATGTTTTCCAGGATACATTTTCAAGTAAATTTTAGATCAAAAGAGTGCCTGAAAATACGGAGTAAGTAACAAGCATCTCATTGGAGGATTGCAAAAAGCAGTGATATGTTTACTGCATTGAATTAGCAATTATCATCTTGGTCTCTTACAAAAGCAGCAGAACTTCTCTATAAAGTATTTTTGGTATCAGATACTCATAAACTACCTTTCTTTACAGTTTGTTTTTAGCTTTGTTGTTATTAGAAATGAACTTCCATGGTTAGTTCCATCTCCATTTATTGCTTGAGTACTGAACAGCTTTCTGTGAGCTTTCTGTACTTGTCATGGTAAGTACTGCAATACTTTCTTACCAGCATTCGCTGTAGTTTTTTCACATACAGGTAACGTTTCATAAGCAGTTTCTGTGCTTTAATTTTTGGTTATGAAGAATTATTGTGCTGAGCAGTCCTTAGGAGATGCTTTCTTGTTAGACAATGTACTGGATTTCAGTGGACCACATAATTCGTTTTAAAGCAACGGTATCCAGAACTTGAGCCTCTTATTTTGTTATAACCTACAATCATTCAATAATTCAAACTCTTTATGGGGTTCACTCAGTCCACTGAGAAGTGGATGTGTATCAATCCTGTTTCTCACATTTAGAGAAGCTTTTTTTTCAGATTTTTGCCTTTCTGTTGCTTAAAAATCTTAATTTAATTCCCACTGATGGGAATGAAATACCATTTATTATAAATACAGTGGCAATCATACAGCTAAGATCAGAATGCAGGTTTCTGGTTTGGATTTGAAGGAAAAGCCTAAAATATCAATCAAAAACCAGTATTTTGTCCAAGAGACAAAAAGGAAGAAAAAGCCCCTAGTTTCCTACAGTAATATGTATTACTAGTGAATAAGCATTGCACCTTCTTTTCTCCCTTGAGTGTAGCCTGAAAGCTATCTTTTGCTCACTGCAGATCAAGTGAGCAGCACTGTTGGCAGATCAGAGCTCAGGTTGTGGCAGCGATTTGCTCTACACTTTGTCATGACATCACCTTTAGCTAATGTCATGTGTTGCTGAAGAGGTGGCATTTTGTGGTCTTCCTTGTATGAAATAAAGACTTCTTTAAAAAATGTCAGAATGCTAATAATATCTCAAGTTACTACTAACCTAACATCTGTTTAAAAATATTGCAGAGACTGTTCATGCCATGACAATTTTGAGGAACTGAGTAGCATAAGTCAAACTTTTTTATTTTCTGCTACATTAAAATAATGTTATCTTTATAAAACCTAGAAACACTCACAATTCCTTCACATGTCAATTAGAAAATACCATTCCTGAAATGTTGGTTTTGTTCACCCTGAAATCACTTTGACGTGTTCTTCAGACATTCAAGTTTGCAAAATAAAATTGTCAATTAAACAAATGGAATAAATGGACCTCTTAAACTGCATGTAGATTTATGTCAGTGTTAAGACCAACACTGCAAGGAAAATGTGTGGAAAACTACTGTATGGCTACTGTTTCAGGATTTGTTTATATGTAAGACAGAGGCGAGTGATGCTGGTTCAAATAGCACAAATCCTTCACATGTAGGGTTGCTTGGCATTAGGTGTTCTGTACATATAACTCTTAAGTTGATTACTGTACAGCTCTCGTATACAAAACTAATGAGCTGATCCTTAAAAGCTACCTACAGAGAAATGCTTGAAAGACCATAAATTTCTCCCTTGTTAAGAGAGAGGTAGTTTCTGTTCAACTTTGGGAGACAAACGTTGCATAATGCAATGCTAATTTAAATATTCAACACTTATTTAGATATTCAAATCTTAAGTGAATTCTATTACACCTAATACAATGCTCACTTTTCTCCTTTTTTACCCATGCTATTTTAAGATCAAATCCAACACGTATTTCATTATGTTCTGAAAATGCCATTTAAGTCATTTTCAATACAGCTCATAGATCTTGATCCTTTATAAATGACTCTGAGTTTCACACGGATTCAGGGTTGCATTGTTTCCATTATAATTTATGCTTTATAGTATGCAATTAAAAGAGCATTGAGTTCAGATGTACTGAATCAGTTTTTTTCCTTGTATGTTTTTAGAAACAGAATTTAATCCTATGAAATTTACATGACATACATAACAGATTTTGAATGACTAGTGAGCAAAGTATGCAAGTATGCTGTATGTCCATATTTTCAGTCCTGCTGTGTTAAGACCTACTTTCTTGACTTAACTATAACGCCCTGTTTTTCTAGTTCTAATGCTTCCAAAACTGTATCACCTGAAAATTTCTGGGCACCTGTAACTCTTGAGGCTTCCCATTTTTTATGCGCAATGCACATTTTTCACAAGAGTAACCATCTTTTGTAGATTTTTCTGCATTGATGTTATTTCTGAAAAATGTACCACCTATATCTCTGTGAGTCAGCAGAACATGGCCATGGGATTTATATTAATTGATATAGTAAATAATTTTAACTGCTGAGTGGTAAGGGACTGATTCTCATTTCTGGATCAGATGCTCTTTTTCCAATATGGAAAAAATTGTGGTAAATTTTATTTTTTCCTATTGGATGCTGAAAAGTTGTTCAAGTGATGGTATGCATATTGCAGGGCAATTACAGTGCCTGTTCAATGCTACACAGCTTCTCTTCTGTAGGCTATGGGAGTAACCCCATCAATTTTCACTTTTACCCAAATGCAGGTCTGTTAGAAATGACTAAGAATGGCAGAACATTGGGAAACAAAGCAGTGAGTACTTTGGCAGCATACGTGTATACTCCAGGGAAAGTCCTAACTTGCTTTGCTAGCTGGGTGTCTGCCTCTCCAAATTAGGAGAAATTTCCAGAGCTTTGAGGAGGCCTTTCTCTCTGATAAAGTGCCCTTTCTCTTGTTGAGTTTGTTTGCACTTCTCCTTCTGTCTACATAGTAACAATCCATTCTCCATGTCCTTTATTTTTTTCTATTTTATTTTATTTTCTCACTATTTCATTTCTGTTTTTCTCTGCAGTCCTCTCTTGTTTCTTTCATTTGTACCATCGTTTCTGTACTTGCATATTCTGCAGAAGTGCAAACTCCATACGAGTAAGTTATTCTGGAATACCTATCTTCTGTTACTAAGCTTTTTTCTTGTAAAAACATCCTACAAAACCAAAGCACATCAAGGAGCTACGTTAGATTATCCACAAATAACAGGAGAATTACTTGTTGAAAAGCCAACAACAGTGTTTAAGTGCAGCATATTTTCACGCTACACATAGGTTTGGTAAAGTGAGAAGTCTTTAAATGAACACCCTACAGCCTTTTGAACACTAATGCTTGTAAGAATGCTTTTGGTAGCAAAGTCCAGAGTCTTCAGCTGTGCTCTTGTGGGTATTGCAAATTCTACTTCGATCAACAAATTGCTGATAAAAATGCATTAACTTCTCACTCTCTGGTGACAAGAACGACTAGA